GGGGGAGAGGGAGAGTGAGAGAGAGAGAGAGAGAGAGAGAATCTTGAGGGGCAGGTGACCATGAGACTCCAGTGTGCAGATCAGGAGAGCCCAGGACTAACACTTAGAAGGCAAAGATGTCTCATCGTGCGAATCAAACAACCAAACTCGGGTCATTTTTGGAGAATAAACAAGGAAATCCTACTTTTGCTCTTTCCCCTCATATGGAATCTGCCAGATGAATAGGCAGAGTATTCCCTTCAAGGAGAAGTCAATGCAGAAGGTTACACTATATGAATAAGAGAGCTCATGGGTTACCTGTTTTGTCATAATTGAAATGCAAATTAACCTTAAAAATACATTTGATTGTATAATCCTTGTTTAGAATATAAATGTGAATTCATAGTTTTGCAATATTTAAGGTCATGACTATGGCTATTAACTCATATTATTCGGTCTCCAACATGAAGAAGGTACATAGGATTAGACCATATTTGGCTTTGACTATAAACTGTAAATTAATTAAATAGTTTAATGTTAATTTGTACTGTATCTCTAAAAAAAATAAACCAATTAACACTTGGTATTTGACACTACATTGATATGATTTCCAATCGTAAATTCTAATTTCGTGGAAAAATATACTATTTATCTCCCCTCACACCCAACTGGGTGGGAGAAGCACAGAACCCTTCAATAATTCATAAAAGCTGGGGACCTTTCCTCTTCCCCAAAATACACATGGGTGCATACAGGCAAGATGTTGCATGTAAAGTCTGTTGGTTCAGGGACTCCTTGAAGTCAGATTGCGCAGATTAGAACTCTTTAAATTCATGCGGAAACAAAATAAAAAATAAACTAGAATTACAATGTATTGGATGAATGTAGCTTGTGGATAAATTAAATGATGGCAGTAATGTAATAAGAGACAAAAGAGGGGAATTGAGAATACTCTTAAAAATACCTACACTAGCCCGGCAGGTGTGGCTCAGTGGGTGAGCATCTACCTATGAACCGGAAGTCATGGTTCAATTCCCAGTCAGGGCACATTCCTGGGTTCTGGGCTCAATCCCCAGTAGGGGGCATGCAGGAGGCAGCCAACAGATCATTCTCTCTCATCACTGATGTTTCTCTTTCCCTCTCCCTTTCTCATGGTAACATTTTGTGTAACTATAATACATGATCCCTATCAGGAAGTTGACATTCATGGTTCCCAGAGCTTATTCAGATTTAGCCAGTTTTACAAGCACTCGTGTATGTGTGTGTGTGTATAGTTCAATGCAAATTTATCACATGTATAGCAATCACCACCACAATTCTGGCAACTAGTAATCTGTTCTCCATCTCTTCAATTTTATTTCAAGAATGTTAAATAAATGTAATCACATAGTATATGACCATTTGAGACTGACTGAGAACATACTTTTTAAACATACTTACGTATGGACTTTTTAGATAGAAATGTTTTTAGGTTATCAATGTGTGAAATGATTAGAAAGTCCTTTATTTTGTTTTTGTTTTATTTTTGTTGAATTTATTGGGGTGGCATTGGTTAATAAAATTATATAAGTTTCAGGTATACTATTATATAATACATCATCTGTATATTGTATTGTGTGTTTACCACCCCAATCAAGTCTCCTTCCATCATCATTTATTCCCCCTTTACCTTCCACCTCCCCCCTCCCTCTGGCAATCACCATACTGTTGTCTGTGTCCATGAGTCTCTCTTTTTTTAGTACATAGGTTTGATTTACTCTTAGGCCTTCACGTTTCCCTTTAAGTTAGGCAATAATTTATTTATTCTTTCATCCACAAATTTACCCAGTGACTGTTACATTCCGGGTACTGTTTTAAGCACTGAACAAAATGGATTTTTAAAAAAATTCTTGTTTTCCCAAAACTAACATACTAGTGGTGAAAGTCAGACACTAAACAATGAGTATACTAGTAGTACATAATCACATTGTTTAGTGTATTGAAAAGTGATAAATGTTCTGGAAATAAAAAAGTAATGTAGAAAACTAGTAATCACAGGAAGTGTCAGAAGGCACGCTGGGGAGGTTGCATTATTAAATAGGGTAGTCAGGGTAGGCCTCATGAACACAGTGGTAGGCAGAAATGAATAGAATGTGTAGTGAAAAGAGTTTTGTCTCATATTTCTACTGGATTCCTGAACATCTTCCCCAACTTGTTTAAACGATAAGTAGAAACACTCCTATATCTTTGAGCAGTACCTGCCTGATAGAGTCCTTATTCACACATTTGTTACATTGTGGGCCTTTATTCTGGTATGTAAATTGCCTTCTCTTCATCTTGGGATTCATCTGTGATTAATTTAAACCACTTCAGAACCCCAGAAGCACTGAATTAAAAATCAGCAAGTTTCTTGAAACACAGCTGACTAATGAGGCTGTGGAAACCATAGTGAAATAGGCTACTTTTAAAAACATGAACGAAGACCCTACAGCAAAATATGACATGGTTACCTACACTCTTGGAAGGACAGAAAAACAAAAGTTTTCTCAATAATGTGTCAGAACGGTCTTTGAAATATTCTTCTCCCTGTAGATGGGTTTTGCGGAAGTCTTCTCTCTCTCCCAGAATTTCTTGTGACTTGCCTTGGTGAGCCAGTCAACTGTGATTTGACAACTGTCGGGCACTGTTTTGAAACCTAATTGTTTCAAAAGGATGTCTAGCAAATTGGTCTAAACTTTGAATATAAAAAATAAAGCAAAATATATCTCATTTCTAATTCAATAAGAGTTGATAGAGATGTGACCTGGTTAACTAAAAATGTAAAGTTAGCATACACACTATGTATACCATGTCCGGAATTAAAACACTGCTTGGATTTTTAATATCTTCTCTATATGATGATGCTATGATACTCTTTGTCTTTGGGGTAAGATTCACCTCTGGACTAAAGTTTACATTATTGACCTTATTTATTTTATTATTGCAATTAATTTTTAATTACAATAATACAATACATTTTAATGTTTCATTGATACTCAATTTAATTGTAGGTAAAGAAAAAATACACACTACAGAAAACTCAGAACATTTATAATTCCTATTACATGCTTCCTGTTTTTCAATTTATAATACAGGGTAACAATGCAGACTATCTCCTAAATCATTTTAATTTTTAAATATCAAAGTGTTTATCAAACTCCTGGCAACTAATCTAAGTATAGTTTACTCATTTTTTATTAGTAAAGTTTTATAATTAACATTTGCATAAGAAGCACAAATTAATGTGTATATTAAAATAGCCTCTCTAGTTAGATATTTTTAGAATTCTTTTACACTGATTTTACTCCTTGTTTAAATCCCAGATGAACTTCAAAGGCAAATTTTTCATATTCCTTTCGAATATTTTGTCAAATCTTTCATTTTGCTCCACTGTCAAGTGATGTTTCCAGTCTCCAACGGTACCTAGAAATAAGCACATGATCAGCACCTGGGTGAGGAAGTGGCACTATCAGGGCAAGAGTTTCTTCCCACCCACTTTCATCTCCTCTTCAAGCCACGCTAAATATCTGGTAGTTCTCCATGGGTTTGATACTTCATGTTTCCTTATACAGAAATGAACTAAGAAACAAACTAAAAAACACTTCTAAAGTTCACTTTCCTTAGCTATTATGCTTTCACCAACCATTACCATTAAGTTATAATGTTTATTGAGATGGTATAACAAAAGTAAAATAGAGGACTAGGTTATAATTTTTTCATATATTTTACTAAATACCAGGCACCAAGGAAATACAAGTACCATCTCATTTCACTCATATGTGGAATTTAATGAACAAACTGAACGAACAAGCCAAATAGATTCATAGAGAGCAGACAGCCAACTCTGGTATGAGGTAACTATTGGGAGTGTAGTCTGGATAAAATGAGAAAAAAAAAGAGAGAGAACTCATGGACATGGACAACAGTGTGGTGATTGAGAGAGAAAGAGAGGTGGGTAGAGGTGGAAGATGGGATAGGGCCGTGGTCCACAAACTGCGGCTCGCGAGCCACATGCGGCTCTTTAGCCCTTGAGTGTGGCTCTTCCTAAGCCTTAGGAGTACCCTGATTAAGTTAATAACAATGTACCTACCTATATAGTTTAAGTTTAATAAATTTGACTCTCAAAAGAAATTTCAATCGTTGTACTATTGATATTTGGCTCTGTTGACTAATGAGTTTGCCGAACACTGGGGGAATTAATGGGGATGGGGAAAGAATAAAATAAAGAGAAAATACATATACAAAAATTAAAAAAAAAATGCCAGGCACCATACTTGGCAAACTATATCTAGTGTGTAATTTAATTCTTAACACAATATCAGTATTTCTTCATTTTTAAAATTGAAAAACTGAAGGGATTAAGAAGTACAAACTGGTAATTACAAAATAGGTATGGCATGTAAAATACAGTACAGCAAATATGGCCAATAATATTGTAATAACTATGTATAGTTCCAGGTGGGTACTATAATTATTGGGGGGATCACTTCATAAATTATATAAATGTCTAACCACTATGCTGCATACCTGAAACCAATATAAAATAATCTTGAATCACAACTATAATTTAAAAAGTAAAAATACATAAATAAAAAGCTAAAGATAAAATAAGTAAAGATGAATAGAAAGCCCGGCCAGCAGGGCTCAGTGCTTGAGTGTTGACCTATGAACTAGGAGGTCACAGTTTGATTCCCGGTCAGGTCACCTGCCCGTGTTGCGGGCTCAATCCCCAATGTGGGGCGTGCAGGAGGCAACCAACCAATGATTCTCTCTCATCATTGATGTTTCTATCTCTCCCTCCATCTCCCTTCCTCTCTGAAATCAATAAAAACATTTTAAAATTTAAAAAAATGAAACCCAAAGATTTTCAAGTAATGAAATCAAGGTCAGAGAGTGTGTTCAGAGCTGTCATTGCTTCAGTTTTACTTGATGGAACTTAGATACTGTCATTAAGCCAATTTTTAAATTAAGATTATTTGCCATCTTCAACTATCAAATTTTCTTGTTTAAACATTATCATTGGCATTTGGAACAGTTAGCCAGCTATTTATGGGCATGAGAATTACTTTGTATTTGGTCTAGTTAAGCAATGAGACTTAAAAGCTGATAATATATGGAACAAAAAATAAACACTTTTAAAAAATAGCAATATCAAGATCAATTTCAAGCAGATCTTCATTAATTAAGAATAAATATCCATCATCAAAATGCTAAGTTATGGATAAATTAGTGAATAAAATATGACTAAAAGAAATACAAATTATGTTCTAGAAAAATGTACATTAAAAGATCAAAAAAATTGTTTAATTGAAATTAAGTATCAGGGGGAAAGTATATTCATTCTTAATTCCTGGCATGTCATAGAAGCATGATAAAAATTAATTGCATGTTGTTATTGAATACTTGAATTCATAGCATATTGGTTTCAAGAAGTATTAATTTACTTTTTTCCATTGAAGAAATCTGACACATGAGGAAATAAGTAACTCAAACTCCCTCCCCCACAACAAAATACATTTTGGGTTTACTTCTAGAATGTTCTAGGAGAAATAAAGAAAAACAATAATTGGAACTGTCCTGGTCACATATATACAAAACCTTCAGGTAAGACTTGCTAACCATTATGCTAAGTGAAATCAGTCAGTCAGAGAAAGATAAATATCACATGCTCTCACTCATTTGTGGATTATAATGAACAACATAAACCGATGAACAAAAACAGATGTAGAGACAGAGAAGCATCGATTAGATACTCAAAACTCAGAGGGAAGGTAGGTGAGGGTGGGGGTGAGGGGGAAAGATCAACCAAAGGACTTGTATGCATGCATATAAGCATAAGTGATGGATGTGGACAACAGGGGGTGAAGGTGAGGACAGGATTGGGGGGATGAGGGGACATTGGGGGGATTAGGACACATTTGTAATCATCTTAATCAATAAAGGGGAAAAATATGTTAAAAAAAAGAGTAGGGACATGTAGACTAAAAGGAAGGAATGTAATATTGATTAATTAGGTTCAAGTGTTAGACTATGTACTAAAAAATTGTGTAGTTTCCTGGGATACTTTCCAGGGCCATTGGCACTTAAGATCTTTGATTCTCTCCAGGTTCCACATGACAGTACTTAGAAAGACTCGGTAAAAATACCCCTTAATTAGTGTAGGGACAAAGCAATCACGGAACTCTCAACACTTTTGCTTCTAAAAACCCCTGAGTATCACCTTTGCGCAGAAAATGTCCCTCATCTGTTCTTTTCCCAATTTCATGTTTTAGAATCTCATCATAATTGGCTTTTGGATCAGACTTCATGTTCTGAAATGTAGCCTGTTTTACAATAGCTTCCACATCCTCTTCACTCAGTTCTTTCTCAAGAAAACGGCTGATTTTAAGCACAGAACTTCTGAGATCCTGAAAGAATTGTGGGTATGAGAAACTATTTAGCTTACAAAGAATGCATGAGTTACATCCCAACATCTTCATCACATTTTGGAAAACTGAAGGTGATTGGACTTATTGTAAGTCTAAAGTTTGACAAAGATATATTACTTTCCTATTCCTTCTATGAAAATGAGTGCTCTGGTTGTCAGCTTTGTTAGAGCTTTCTACTGTTTGATTTTATAAGGACAACTCCCCTTCATTTACTCATTCATTCATTCATTCAACTGGTACTTTTAGGAATGTTATGTTTCAAAAACTGTGATAGGTGCTGGAGAAGTTTAAGAGAACAATAATATGCTATCTGTGCTTGTTAAGAGTTTACAATTTCATGAGGGAAAGAGTAAAGCAAGTAATTAAATACAATGGCTACAGAAAAGGAAAGTCCAAGTTTGGTGGCTTCATTGGTTATTCTACCAAACACAAATTAAAGAAGAATTAACACCAATCTTCTAACTTCAAAATTTCAACAAAATCAAAGAGGAGGAAATACTTCCAAACTCATTCTATAAGGCCAGCATTACCCTGATAACAAAGCCAAATGAGAACACTACAGGAAAAGAAAACTAAAAACCAATATCATTTATGAAAGATAAGATACAAAAATCCTCAACAAATTACTAACGAAACAAATTTAGTAATGGATTAAGAGAACTATACACTATGAACAAGTGGGATTTACTCCTGGAATACAAAGATGAAAAGCCCTAGTTGGTTTGGTTCAGTGGATAGAGCCTCTGCCTACAGACTGAAGGGTCCAGGGTTTGATTTCAGTCAAGGGCATGTATTATGATTATAGGCTCCTCCCCAACCCGGACCCTGGTTAGGGCACATGCAGTAGGCAACCAATCAGTGTGTTTCTCTCACATCAATATTTCTGTCTTTCCCTTTCTCTGTCTTTTACTCTCTCTAAAAATCAATGGGAAAATATCTTCTGGTGAGGATTAATAACTACAACAACAACAAAAGATCAGGAACAAGGCAAGGATGCCAATATATATTTATATTCAGCCTAATACTGGAAATCCTAGCCAGAGTAAACAGACAAGAAAAAGGCATCCAAATTTAAAGGAAGACGAAAATTATGTGTTCACATACAACATGATTTTATACATAGAAAACACTAAAGATCTACAAAAAACAAACAAACAAAAGAAACAGAACAAAACAAAACCCTGTTAGAACTATTAAAAAACTCAGCAAAGTTGTAGGATACAAAAACAACATCCCCAGATCATTTGCATTTACTTACACTAACAATGAACAGTGGTTTAGCAAACTGGTCTCTAACTAGGTTGCCTATATTTACTATTATCACTTTTAAACCCATTAGAGGGAATTAGATTCTAAAGATACTAATTCTATCATATTGCTGTTCTTCAAATAACTGTTAAAAAGCTCATTATTGCTTTTAAGATGAAGAAATTACTATCACTAACAAAGTCTACAGACCTTGCATGGTCTGGCTCCTACTGTATTCCACCTCTCTATCTTAATCTTTCATTCCCTCCACCTTGCTCTTTAACTTCTTCCTTCCAAGATATCATGCACCTGACAGCTTCAGATATTTTGCACATTTTCTCTTCTTGGCTTAGACTTCACTTTTACTTCTCTGCCAACTCATATCTACTCACTTGAAGTTGTCATCTACTTTTCCAGAAACAATTGCCTATTACCTATACCAGATCAGTATATTTCATATCCTATCATACTTGCACTTTTCCTTTTAACAGTTATCATAGATTTGAAGTATATATACCTACTTAGTGAATATTTGTTTTCCCTTTTGGATTATAAGTTCTCTAAATAAAGGGTTCAATTGTCTTTGTCTGGTGATTTAGGGTCTGTCACATAATAGGCATTTTATAATTTTGAATTAATGAGCAAGTAAGATATGTAGCAGGTAGTCAACATATCAACCATAGATCACAAAATAGTGAACTTCAAATGTGTTTGGTTGGGTTTACACAATGTATTAAGACAGTTTTCATTGGATGCCAACATGTAAATACTATGTGATTTCCATGAAAGCTACATTTGAAGATTCTCATTAATAAAAACAACAACAAAACACAAAGAACTTGCATCACTGGGCACACAATTACCTCTGACTAATTGGCCAAATCTTAGTGGCTTCTCACCCCAGGGTTGTTTTTGTTTGTTGTTTGTTTAATATTTTTGTTTATTTTTAGAGAGAGAAAAATAGAGAGGGAGAGAAACATCGTGCCTCCTACCAGGGATCATGCCTGCAACCCCGGCCCTGCCTGTGGATCGAACCAGCAACCCTTCATTGCATAGGATGACAATCAACTAGTCACACCGGACGGACTGGCCCCACTG